CAAAATATCTGGGAAATAGTGGTTTAAATGTTTAATAGGGCCAGGTGTGGTGGCTCACACCTGTAATCCCTACACTTTGGGAGGCCAAGGCAGGAGGATTGCTTGAACCTAGGTCTATTGTCAAGACCAGCTTGGGCAATATAGTGAGATCCTATTTCTGCAAAAAATATTAAAATTTTGGCTGGGTGTGGTGGCTCATGCCTGTAATCACAGCACTTTGAAAGGCCAGGGTGGGCAGATCACCTGAGGTCAGGAGTTCAAGACCACGCTGACCAGCATGGACAAACCCCATCTCTACTAAAAATAGAAAATTAGCCAGGCATGGTGGCACATGCCTGTAATCCCAGCTACTTGGGAGGCTAAGGTAGGAGAATTGCTTGAACCCAGGAGGTAGAAGTTGCAGTGAGCTGAGATGTGCCATTCACACCATTGCACTCCAGCCTGGGCAACAAGAGCGAAACTCCATCTCAAAATAAATAAATAAAATATAAAAATTAGCTGGGCATGGTAATGCCTATAGAGGAGACTGAGGTAGATGATAGCTTGAGCCCAGGAGGTCAAGACTACAGTGAGCCAATATTGTGCCACTGCACTTCGGCCTGGGCAACAGAGCAAGGTTCTGTCTCAAAAATAAAAATAAATAAGTAATAAGTGTTCAACAGTTTTATTATTTATTAAATAAATTCTCAGAGAGTTTAATAAGCTCATGTACTATGACTCTTTAGGAGAAGCAGCTACTATGAACTGTTTTCAAATGTATTTGACCAGGGATTTGTTTGCTTGTTTGTTTTTGACGACTACGTGCTAACACACCATAGAAAACCAGTATGTTTCCATGAAATACAGTTTACAGGATGCTGGTCTAGGCTAGCATAGGAATAGGTATGACACAAACCAATTGGTATCCACACTGGAAGATCAAGGCACTAGATATTTCTGGCAGCCAACCGAAAAATTCTTGAATTAACCCAGAGAAAGCTTGATAAGAGTACTTTCCTCACCACACAGCACGTCTGACGTGTCTTTTAAGCCCAGGAACCAATGTGTCTGAGGACAGTCCTGTGAACTCTGGGCCCTCTCAGGTTATATACCCTCCCCAGGCCTTGCTTTGCTGAGTTCACTGATAAAGGCTGGGCTTCCTGTTTCCAGAGCACACTCCTGTTCTCTCACTGGGACAGAAACGCTTCTCTCCATTCCAGTCTCTATGGCATTTACCCTGACCTCTTGCTTAATTCTTATCAGATTCCTCTCCTTGGAAACTCTTGATGATTAAGTGACAATGTATGATAAATAAGTGACATTGCCTATGTTTTAAGAGGTAAATTACACATGTAAAACACGCAACACAGTGTCATTTGGCTTATACTCAGTAGATGTTAGTTTCTAAACAGATGTTAAAGATTTCTTTAACAAAGCCATCATCCGTCCCAGACTTTTACTTTTCATTTTATACACTTTGGTATTATTTGGAATTTTTAAAGCGACAAACTTAAATTACCCTCATTTTAAAAATTAAAGTAACTTAATAAGCCTTTCCTTAATAAAAGGAAAAAGCACTCTGTGATTCCACTTATGTGACATACCTGGAGCATTCACAGAGGCAGAACATATAATGGTGGTTGCCAGGGGATGTGGGGAGGAGGAAGTGTTGAGTTACTGTTTAATGAGTATAGATTTCTAGGCTTACGAGATGAAAAGAGTTCTGGAGATTGGTTCCACAAAAATGTAAATGTACTTAACACCTGTAAGGTATACATTAAAAATAGAGACTGGTTGTACCATAAAAATGGCTGAGATGGTGAATTTTGCATTATATGCATTTTATCCCAATTAACAGTTTTAAAAATTAAAATAACAATGAAAACATGTCTCTCCCTTCCTCTTGCACTGCTTAAAAGTCTCTGCCTACCCTTTGTCTCTCCCTTAACCTGTTTTCCATATTGCCACTGGAATGGTAAATCTGAACACAGCACTCCCCATTAATCACTATAGGATAAAATGCAAAGTTTTCTGCCTGACATGCAAGGCTCTTTAACTAAAGCCCCTACCTAGCCCCATCTCCTAACACTGCCCCATTTTGTACCTCTGATCAAGCCATACCACATTGCTCTTACTTTTCAAAATGTGGTATTTCATGACTTCTTGTCTTTGCCTAAAATGCCTTCTCAAAATCCTTTTTATGCCTGCTGAACACTTCATCCTTCAAGACTAGGCTTAGTGTCTGCTCTGTGGAGCTTTCTTTGACCAAACAGAACACTGCCTCTTTTGTATCACCACTCTACCTGGTAGAGCACTCTATCACTGCAGGTAGCATGCTGTATTGCAATGGTTTGTTTATATGTCTGCATCCCTCAGTAGACTGGGAGGACCCCAAGGGCTCATTCACATTTGTATCCCCAGGGTTTAGAGCATGGTGCCTGCTACATAGGAATTGATTAATACATGGTTGTTGAGTGAGTGAATGAATGTATAGAATTGGAAGCACAGATCTGAAAATTTGTATCCCTGTTTTCACTACTACTATCAATAAAAATCCACACAAAAAATCCTTAAAGAGACTGTGTATTATCAGGATAGCAGGCAGACCAATACCTGGTGATAGAAAAGAAAAGGGCTGGAGGAAGCCTCAAATGCCTAAAAGTCTCTGCCTTCCTTCTCCTTTCCTGCCCCTGAAGAGATCACCACTCTCTTGGAGTCAGGGGCGTTCTCTTTCACACTGCCTGTCTGATAAAGGATTGAGTAAGAGTAGGGCACAGCACTGGAGGGGAGTCACCCCAGGAAAGGGGAATTTATTCCTATATTGGATCAGAACTGTTTTTCTTTTCTTTTTTTTAAATTTATTTTACTTTAACTTCTGGGATACATGTGCAGAACATGCAGGTTAGTTACACATGTGCCATGGTGGTTTGCTGCACCTATCAACTCAACATCTAGGTTTTAAGCTCCCCCCCACGTATTAGGTATTTGTCCTAATGCTTTCCCTCCCCTTGCCCCCACTCCCCAGCAGACCCTAATGTGTGATGTTCCCCTCCCTGCATCCATATATGTGTTCACATTGCAGAACTGTTTTTCATAGATATGTTATTATATATGATGTACATAAGGATTTACCTCAAGCACATTATAGGTTAAGTAGCCTTGGGTGGACTGGTTTGGGAATATAACCGTAATTTATAACATTGTTTATATAGGACATTTGTTTCTGAGTTCAAAAAAAAAACTTTTGGAATGAAACATGAGGACTTCCTGAATTCTTTTTGGAAATACAGTAAGTGTATCAATAGGAATCTAGAGATTTATGAAAATGAAACGTTTTAATTAGGGGAAAAGTGATCATGGCAATATTTAGCTGTAACCCTGAGGCATTGTGACTAATTTATACCAATCCTATACTGTAGTTCTCAAATTACCCACTAGTCTTAAACTCTACAACAAGGTAATTGAAATAAAGTTTAAAAATGCAAGTTTCCATTTTAAACGCAGTCTCATAAAGGTCCAGCATCCAATATAACCTGTGTTGTGTCATACACGATGCCTGCAACTTGCTTTAGGACACCAGCAGCCTGTAAAAGTGATGCACCCTCTCTCAAGCACTTTACAGCAAAATGTCAAGCCATGAAAATGACTCACTGACTTACCGTTTGTCATCAGGGTAAAACATTCTCTGAAATGAAACAGTCTTCTGTAGGAACACTCTGTATGCAAACAGATGCATTTGAAACCCATATGACCTATATGGTTATTTCTAGCCATTCCCCTTCCCACATCCAAATGTTTGTGATATATTACTATGCAGTTGAAGGCTACAAGGCAATACGCATGATTTGAGAGGAAACAGTTCATTTACTGACACTACACAGAAAAGTTGAAGAAAGAGGCTTTCTTTAAAAAAAAAAAAAGAAGAATCTAAAACTGCTTTTAAGAATCACCCATTTTCCTGTTACAAAAAGCAATCGTGGATATCTGTCAAATACTAATGACAGTCTGTCAATCACACCCAACCCCACCCCTCCCTGTTTTCAAGAGCTTGTCTTCTTATTGTAAAACTAGCTTTTAACTTTTTCCAAAGCAACAGAATTATATTGCTGCTATGTGTGACTGAAATGTGTGACAGGTTGTTTGGATTGTAATTCCAAGGTCCCAGTTATGACCTACCAGCTAATACACTCTCCTTATTCAATAGAGCCTTGTGTCTACATAATGTCAAACAAATGGCAGGGCACTAAATAAATAATGAGCTAATTTAGTAACCTGTGGAGTGTCTCAGGTTCTGCTTGCTACATAGTAGGTTAGCAACTTATTATTCTGAGAGGCACAGTGAGGCCTGCCCCATGGTAACACTGTGATATTGAGCGATTGTCTGAGCCACTGTCCCACATCTTGTCTGGGTACATAGTACTGAACATGGTAAACACATTCATTCACTAAATACTTAAGTGAATGGACCCTGAGGAAAGACTTTCAGATCTTTCTGAGATGGACTAAACTCACATATTTTTTTTCCCTATTTTAACCAACCAATTCACGTACATTTCAAGGAATCAACTACTCAAACAGCAGCAATATTTTCTTAAATGTTCCCCCAGGGAAATCTTAGGCTATGGCAAATTAAGAGAATTGCTCTGTCTGTCTGGTGACTCAGGGCCCGGCTGGATTCAAAGAAAACAATATATTAAGTGTGGGTCCTGTGGAGAGCAGGGGTGGGAAATGGCCTGAAGTGTTCAGGGAAGGTAACAAAGAAAATAAGGGCCTTGGGAACTGCTTTTTAAAACAGACGACACTTGTCCTCTCAAACTCTGCTTCTGTCTACCACTGAATGAATGAAAGCATCATTCTGTCTAATTCCAAAATATGATGTATACCTGGTCATTCTCCAAGTTCAACCTTCCTGGCTTTCCTATGGACATTTCTAACATTTATTGTCACATTCAGCATGGACAACTCTACTGACTAATATAGCTAGTACCATGGCTTGTGTACACAGCTGAATCATAACGTACCTGAACACAGGGAGGGACCTTGTCCTCTACTTCTCACGATAGCTTTGCAATGCTGAGTATCTCTTCTCTTCCTGCTCCTGCTGGATGTTTTGACTCTTCTTTGCTTACTAACATGCACAGGACCTTCTCACTAAATAAAAAAACAACAACAAAATCATGACTCTGCCTTCCCTAATGTTTTATCAACAATCTTCTTACTGTATTCCTTTCCCTAGATGATATCATCCACTCTCAGGATTTAAATCATCAACTACAAAGATTGTTTCTTTTTTTTTTTTTTTTTTTTTTTGAGATGGAGTCTCACTCTATTGCACAGGTTAGAGTGTGATGCCATGATCTCAGCTCACTGCAACCTCCGCATCCCGGGTTCAAGCAATTCTCCTGCCTCAGCCTCCTGAGTAGCTGGGATTCCAGGCACATGCCACCACTCCCGGCCACTGTGCCTGGCCAGAAGATGGTTTCTAGATGGCAATCTCCAGCCCTGATTTTGTCTTAGAATTCCAGTACTATGTCTCAAAACTGCCCGATGCCTTGCATAATTTTTTGTCATCTCTTTCCTGTCCTAGGAATAAAATCCCCCTCTAACTTCCAAACTCACTTTTCCTCCCCGACATTAAGATTTCTACTAATGGAGCATGAGTCTCCATATTATCATAGTGAGTTCACTTTATTTCAGCTAATATTAATTGAAGCTTACCATGAACAAGACATTGAGCCCAGAAATCTTGCTGGCATATTTAAATATTTCCTCTCATTCTCTGTGTTCAGTCTAACCTAAGTTCAGTATGTTCTTCGTTTGAAATGTCACCTGTATCTAAACCTTCCTTTCCTCTATTCCGCTTGCCACTCACCTCAGCAGTCCCAGGACTCATGATCTTATTATGCCTGTGTTATCACAGACTTTTGGCTAGTTTCCATAGTATCTCTCTTTTCTCTATTGAAGTGGCTCTCAAACTTTCCTGAATATTAAAAATACCTGGAGATCTTTAAAATCTTAAGGCCCAGGCTATATCCCATATTATTAAATCAATCTCTGAGGTTAAGAGCAAGACATCAGTATTTTTTAAATCTCCCCAGTTGATTTTAATGTGCATCCAGGTTTGAGAACCCATGGCTATTCCTCTCTACTCACTATTGCCAGGACATTTACAAACACTGCTCTCATTACGTAACTTGCTGGTTCAAAAACCTTTAATCACCTCCCATTGATGGATTTCAAGGCTCTTTACATTCTGATTCAATACTAGCTCATAAAACCTATGCCTTCCCACCTCCATGACCATCCACTGGAATGCCTTTCCTCTGCTTATCCAAATCTTACTTGTCCTTTAAGGTCCAGTTTATTTTTTAAAAAAGCATTCCCTAAGGAATCTAGACCACAGTGATTATCTCCCCTCTGCACACTGATAGCACTTTTGCCTATACAGTCCTTTCCTAAGTATCACTTTATATTGCAGTAATAGTTTCTGCTCCTATATCTCATTCTCAAACTAGTTTGTATGGTTTTGAGGACACAGTCTGTATCTACCATATGCCCCCTACTGTACCTACTGCACAGTGCTGCAGTGCTATGAAAATTATAAACATTCAATAAATAGACTGGTTTTATGTCCATCCATCCAATCATAAAGAATATTTCAATCCACATGTAGTACCTTAAATGGTTGTGGCATGTTGTAATATAATACAATTAAGCAGTATGTCTAATATTCTTTACTTTTTATCAGTAAACAGATGAACAGAAAAGAGGATATCACTTTGAGATGGGGCTACTTGTCTTGAATATCTCCTGAATGAATATATTCAAAGTATGTAAATAGACTGTATGTAATAAACCCAAGGGAAGATATTAACAAGTCAACATTTCCTGTTCATGTGAGAATGCTAATTCTATTTATCAAACAAAGATAGAAACAGTATTCTTTTAGTCCGATCCTCCCTTTTTGGCTCCTCATGGCCCAAGACTATCATCACTAGTGGAGCCAAGGGAAGAGAGAAAACCCTCCCACTGATCTTCTGACCACTGGGTGAGAAAGTCAGGCTAACAATAAAGATTTTTAAGTTCAAAAATGATTAAATGGGCTATTTGTAACTGGAGGTAGCTAGGGGTCATGTAAAGAGCAGGAGGCCTGGAGTCAGAGAAGCTGGGTTCAAATCCCAGCTCTGTCACTAAATCGTCCCTGTGACATTAAGCAAGTCACCAAGTCTCTGTGAAACTCAGTTTCTTCATCAGAAAAATGGGATGGGTAGTAGATGGCATAGTGTTTCGGAGATTATTAAATAATACAATATATTGACTGTCCCTAGCACATAGTACGTACTCAATAAACATTAGCAGATTCGAATAAGAAGGCTAAAATAATCAGGCTGGGCATGGTGGCTCACCCTTGTAATCCCAGCACTTTGGTAGGCTGAGGCAGGCAAATCACTTAAGGTCAGGAGTTCAAAACCAGCCTGGTCAACACGGTGAAATGCCATCTCTACAGACAATACAAAAAAAAAAAATTAGCTGGGTGTGGTGGCAGGTGATTGTAATCCTAGCTACTCAAGAGGCTGAGGCAGGAGATTCCCTTGAACCCCAGAGGCCGAGGTTGAAGTGAGCTGAGATCACGCAACTGCACTCCAGCCTGAGTGACAGAGCAAGACTCTGTCTCAAAAAAAAAAAAGGCTAAAATATGTTATTTGTATATTTAGCATCTAATGCAAATATTTTAACCAAAGGGAGCCATCCAGCTCCCCAAGAATGATCCATAGATTTTTTTTAGAATGAACTTCTTGTTTGAAAATAATTGCAAACTTAGAAAAATTACAAGACTAAAATGGCACAATGAATACTCACGTATACTTTACCTATGATAATAACCCTATTATAAACATTTTACCCTATTTGCTTTATCATTTTTATCATTCTATCTACTCTATCTAAATTTCCAAATCATTTGACAGTAAATTGCATATATCATGGCCCGTTGCCTCTAACTGCTTTGGTGTACATTTCCTAGCTATGAGGATATTCTCCTACATATCACATTGCAGTTAATAATTTCAGTAATATCAACATCAGTCCAATATTTTATCTAGTCTACTAACTCTTTTCTAGTTTCTATAATTGTCCTAACAATGCCCTCTAAAGAATTGCTTCCTTCCCATACAAGATTCAGTCTAGGATACAGTATCTCATTTAATTATCATATCTATTTAGCCCCATTTTATCTAGAGCATTTTCATAGCAGTTCTTTGTCTATTATGACAATGGATGTTCCATCGTATTATTAAAATTGAAACAAGATACTTTTACAAAGTATAGCAGTTAAGAGCATAGGCTCTGAGGCTAAATTGGCTGAATTAGAATCTTACCCTTGACACCAATTAGCTGTGTGACCTTAGGCAAGTTACTTAATGTCTCTGTGCGTCACCTTTTTCATAAAAAATGTGGCTGATAATGTTACTTCATGAGGGTGTTGCATAGATAAAATAAATTAATACACAGAAGATATTTGGAAAGTGCTTACTGCTTGGTAAGTGCTCAGTGTTACATATTATTATTATTATAATTCCAATGCCAAGTGAGACATACCCAAATTTACTGAGTACCTCTTACATGCAAGGTATTAACTAAGACCAAGTCATATGTATCACACCAATTACAAAGTCATAGAATGTTGGACTTAAAAAGAGTTTAACGATCGTGGGTTCTTAAATTTTATTTGTATCACAGCCCCCAGAGAACCTGGTAAAAATCTGTAAACAGCCGGGCGCGGTGGCTCAAGCCTGTAATCCCAGCACTTTGGGAGGCCAAGGCGGGTGGATCACGAGGTCAAGAGATCGAGATCATCCTGGTCAACATGGTGAAACCCCGTCTTTACTAAAAATACAAAAAATTAGCTGGGCGTAGTGGCGCGTGCCTGTAATCCCAGCTACTCAGGAGGCTGAGGCAGGAGAATTGCCTGAACCCAGGAGGCGGATGTTGCGGTGAGCCGAGATCGCGCCATTGCACTCCAGCCTGGGTAACAGCAGCGAAACTCCATCTCAAAAAAAAAAAAAAAAAATCTGTAAACAGACTTCTCTGCCCATCCCCCTCCTCTCCCCTCCTCTCCCCTCTCCTCTCTCTCTCTCTGTAGTGGTTTGAATGGTTGCTCCCAGAAAGATATGTTCACATCCTAATCTTGAATGTGACCTTATTTAGAAAAAGAGCCTTTTCGGATGTAATTAAATTAAGGATCTTGAGATGAGGCAATCATCTTGGATTATCCAGTCCGGCCCTAAATCAAATAGCAAGTGTCCTCCTAGGAAACGCACAGGCAAGACAGAAGAGAAGGAAGTGATATGAAAATGGAGGTAGAGACTAAAGTGAAATAGCCACAAGTCAAGACATTCTGGCAGTTACCAGAAGCGGGTAAAGGCAAGAAACAGACTCTCTCCTCGAGCCTCTGGAGGAAGCTTGACCCTCCTGACCCTTTGATTTCTGACACTTGGCATCCAGAACCATAAGATAATAAATTTCTGTGGTAATCTGTTATAGCAGCCTCAGTAAATTAATACAGATACACATATTCACACACAATTTGGTATATTTCAGCCAGTCTGTGGATCCTGGGTTGAGAAACCCTACTGTTATCCTACTTTATAATTTACCAGTCAGGAACCAGATTAAGATAGACCCATAGCTAGGTATTGAACTAGACTGAGAGAGGGCTGATAGTGGCAACCCCAAGGCCCTGAGGTGGGATGAGATATGGCTGCTCTCAGGAAACACAGCATCACTAGCTAGGCCTAGCAAATCAAGGGACAAGGCTGGAACATTTTCCGTGCACTTCATCAGCATCTCAGTCCTTGCTTCCTCAAGACCCGTCTTTTCCACCACCATCAATATTTGCAAACTAGAGAAAATAAACATAGTTACACTGAAAGAATACTTGAACAAAGAATACTTGAACAAAGAAAGTAAACAAACCTTAAACAGTGAGAAGGGTATACCATTTGTCCAAGTAAATTAAGATATTGGCTGGAGGAGGTGGCTTACGCCTGTAATCCCAGCACTTTAGGAGGCTGAGGCAGGTGGATCACAAGGTCAGGAGTTCAAGACCAGCCTGGTCAACATAGTGAAACCCCTTCTCTACTAAAAATACAAAACTTAGCCAGGTGTGGTGGCAGGTGCCTGTAATCCCAGCTACTCAGGAGGCTGAGGCAGGAGAATTGCTTGAACCTGGGAGGCGGAGGCTGCAGTGAGCTGAGATCATGCTATTGCACTCCAGCCTGGGCGACAGAGTGAGAGTCCATCTTGGGGAAAAAGAAAAGTAAATTAAGATATTGAAAACATGATCATTCAAAAAAAAAAGATTGTACAAAGAAAGACAGAAAAAGTGAGACTTTGACCATGATAGAGATCAAGCCCAAAGCTAGGTCTGGAAAAATTATGTTCTCTAAACGTAATAACCAAAAAATGCTGTTAGGATCCTGGGTTCATTTGAGCCCTGTGGGTTAAACTGTGTCACTAAAAAGATGTGTTGAAATCCTAATCCCAGTACCTGTGAACACGACCTATTTTGAAAATGGGGTCTTACAGATGTAATCAAGTGAAGATGAGGTCATTGGGGTAAGCCCTAATCCAAATACGACTAATGTCCTTCTAAGACAAGGAGAAGAAACAGAGAGAGACACAGAGAGAAGAATGCCATGTAGAGACACAAAGACACACAGAAGGAAGACAACCTTGTAAAGATGGAGGCAGACATTGGAGTGATGCTACCATTAGCCAAGGAATAGCTGTGGTTACCTGTAGCTAGAAAAGCCAAGGAAGGATCCTTCCCTAGGCACTTTGGAGGGAGCCTGGCCCTACCAGCACCTTGATTTGGGGCTTCAGGCCTCTAGGACTGTGATAAAATAAATTTCTATTGCTTTAAACCACCCAGTTTGTCTCACTTTGTTACGGCAGCCCTAGAAAATTAATACCAACCCTTATGTGGGAATCCAAAAGACATTTACTGAATAACATGTGCCAGGTACTATGCTAAGCCCTGGGGAAACACAAAGGTAAGACAGCCTGTTTTCTTGCTTTAAAGCTGACTTCAGTTTTCTACGATGGAGTAGGTAATTTCTAGGGCACCACAGATGCCTTTCTCTATCCTGTGACCTGCAACCATATCTAGTTTTCATCCGATTTGCTCATGCATGTAGAGTATGTAGGTGCTTTAAAGACGAGATGTCTCCTGGCATTTCTGACTATTCTATTTAATATTTATCCAGGAACACAGTCATTCAGACTGCTCCTTCTCCGTTTTAAGGTTCCAAAGAAAGAGGAATGGGGAAAGAGAAAGGCAGAAGGTTCCAAGATAGCTTTCATTTTATTTCTGGCCCATATCTTTCCTGGTAAAGCCACACTACCAATAACATCTCCCCTGCTCTAAAGTGAGGAGCTCCGGACAGGCATGGTGGCTCATGCCTGTAATCCCAGCACTTTGGGAGGCCAAGGTGGGCAGATCACAAGGTCATGAGTTTGAGACCAGCCTGGCCAACATGGTGAAACCCCCATCTCTACTAAAAATACAAAAATTAGTCAGGCATGGTCTCTACCAAAAGTACACAAATTAGCCAGGCATGGTGGCAAATGTCTGTAATCCCAGCTACTCGGGACACAGAGGCAGGAGAATCACTTGAACTGGGTCCCAGGAGGCGGAGGCTGCAGTGAGCCAAGATTGCACCACTGCCCTCCAGCCTGGGCTACAGAGCGAGACTCCGTCTCAGGAAATAATAATAATAAATAAAATAAAACAAAACAAAATGAGAAGCTCCTCACACACTTTATCAAACTCTGTACATGGACCACAATGTGGCACTGTTTCATTCCCCAAATTTAATAAAATACACAGTTTATTTCGTATCACAATATGAGGACTTTGCCTCATTGTTTATGGTGTGTCTGTAGGGTACATATTTAAATCCAATCAAATGTCTACCTCAGTAACAGAGCCTAGGCTTTATCACTTGGTGATACTGTGCTGCTATTATGGGGAAGCCCTTGGCAAATTGAGGAAATAGGCACTATTTGCCTTAATTTGATTCCCATATTCATAAGTAGAGATCCCATTTTCTATCATGCTCTACCTTCTCCCTTCTGTTTACCCTAGTAAGACACTTCTTACCTTGAGTCCTTGTCACAGTCTTGCTTTGGCTGGCTGTGGTAACTCATAACAGGGTGACGTCTTGAGATATGATCCCTCGGAAAGGCATTTATTTTTAAAGTGGGATATCTTAGAGATGAAAAACTCTTGAATCTAGCTTATCGTATTCTTCACAACAACCTTGTGAAGTGGATATTCGCATGTTCATTTTAAAGAGAAGGAAACTGAGGGCCAGAGAACTGAAGTGACTTGCCCAGGGGCAGAAAGCAGGAATGCGTCAAAGTTAGAACAAGTTCTTCATGCCTCTCTGATTTCCAGTCAGTACTCTTTCTTCTATACCACACTGCCTCATTTGACATGTTACAGATGGAAGGAATGCCTTCTATGTGCAGGATTCTGCCTTGAGCCTTCTGGGATGATGCAGAAAAGGGTACAGCATGTCCATGCCCTCTAGCAACTTAGAACCTATTTTCCATCAAATCGTATGCGGGCAGTGCCTCAAGGCCAGACTATCTCATGCCTTATCTTGCCCAAGTCTAAAGAACTCTCTTTCGGGTTGGGTGAAAGGGGGAGGTGGTTAACTATGCTTTCATTCGGATACTTTGTTGTGACCGAAAGTCTGAAAATCTTTTTCCTTCTATACACAATGTCTATTTTCCCCTGGGTGAGCAGTAGCCTTCTGTTAACCTCCAGCATCCTGTTGTGCTCTACCCTCCCAGGAAGTCAGCTATTTCTCCTGGTTAGGCTGGACTGTTTCTCTGTTGGAACAGAGATTCCTATCTTGCCAGGGCTTGCCCTCTCCAATGATGGGCAGTTTCTGTGGGACCTTCAGTGTGACTTTTTCTCTGTTCATGGCATCCCCTAATGTTCCACATAACAACATTTTCCCCGTATTTCAAGTCCTCTGCCACCTTCATGCTTTCTTTGCTCTGTACCTATCAAACCTGCTATTCTCTCAAAGGGGTCAGATATCAGCCCTTTATATTGTTACTTTGAGTATGTTTAAATTCATTCACCTATCTATTCCAATTACAAATACTTTTTAAAATGTAGGTATTGTTGATAGAAAAAAAGACATGGGCCCTTTCCCTCAAAGAACTCATTTTCCTTTAGAAGAGACAAACAGACCATTACAATATAATGGAATGTGATTCCTTTTCTATTCAAAGTATGACTAGAGTACCATAGGGGCCACAGAGGAACATCTGACTCACACTAGAAGGATTCAGGAAGGGTTTCTCAAGGAGGTGATGGTGAAGGACAAGTAGTAAATAAAGAAGCAAAGAAGAGGTAAGAATTTCCAGAGAGAGTGTGTGCTCACAGTATGGGCTAAGGCACTGGGGCATGAGCAGGCACTTAAGGAAGAAGTAGCTGCTCTACGTGAATGGAACACAAGGCATGAGTTGGAAAGAAGAGTGAGATACACTAGGAGGCTTGTAAGCCAAACTAAGGAGTTTGGGTTTTATCTCAAAAGGAATATGGGGCACTACTTAAGCCCTGTACATAGAGGAGTGGCAATATTTAATCAATCACTAAAATATTCAATCAATATATCTTCTTTACCACCCATATTTAATCAACCAGTAAAATATCTCAAATCTGTAAAATATCTCAAATCTCTGAGATATTTTAGTGATTGATTATGGGTGGTGAGGAGTTGGAAAGATTTTTGTAAATCTGTGTTTTGTGATCTCTCTGGGTAATTAGGCAATTAGTGGAACCATTCATGAAGATGAGGCATATAGGTAGAGGCAGAAGAGATTGATGGGTAGAGATGGAGGCAAATGATATGTCTGGGTTTTATGTATTCTTTTTTTTTTTTCTGATACAGGGTCTCTCTATGTGGCCCAGGTTGCCTACTACTCAAGGGCATGATCAGCACAGTAGTTTTTGGTCTGCTTCATTTCCGACCTGGGCTGATTCACCCCTCCTTAGGCAATCTGGTAGTCCCCAACTCCTAGGAGTTCACCACATTGATGCCAAACTTAGATTGGACACCAAATTAGCATAGCATACTATGGCCCCCAAACTCCTGGACTCAAGCAATACTCCCATCTCAGCCTCCTAAGTAGCTGGGACTTCAGATGTTCAGAAATGTTGAAATGTTGAAAGTAGCACCCGGCTCGTTTTATATATTCTAATTTGAGATGCCTATCTAACATTCAGAGCATTCCAGCAGGCAGTTTGATAAATGGATCTTATAAGAGATCTAGCAGGTGGTATTGATTTTGGAATTATTAGCCACCATGTTCAGTGTCCTTCTTTGAGGCCATAAAAACATCTTTGGCGCTGGGTGTGGTGGCTCACGCCTGTAACCCCAGCACTTTGGGAGGCTGAGGCAGGTGGATCACGAGGTCAGGAGTTCAAGACTATCCTGGCCAAGATGGTAAAACCCCGTTTCAACCAAAAATACAAAAATTAGCCAGTCATGGTGCTGGACACCTGTAATCCCAGCTACTCCAGAGGCTGAGGCAGAGTTTGCAGTAAGCCACTCAGAGTTTGCAGATCGCGCCACTGCACTCCAGCCTGGGCAACAGAATGAGACTCTATCTCAAACAAACAACAAAAACATCTTTGCCTTCTGAATCTTCAAGAGCAGCAACAAGAGGCATTTTTAAGGGAGAGAAACTTCCAGGTATCTTTAAAACACTTTCATGGTCTTGCCACCTGTTGAATATGCATTACCAGCCCAGTTTAACTGCTCTTAACCCAGCATGGGTATGAAGATTTGGCTGCAAAATCTGATATATACAGTGGTTAAGGTATTTTTCAGAGGATGGTAAAAGACCCAGGAAGTCAAACTTTGTATTTGTCAGCTTTGCTCCCTAGCTAAATAGCACATATGCAGCCAGGAGAACTGAGCAAAATGAATAAGATACTGTGTACTCCTGGCGTTGATCTTCTTGGTTCTCGGTGCTCTATAAAATCTTCCTAGCCTCTTGTTTATACACCCTCTAAACCATTCTGAGCCACCACAAGGTTGTTCTGTGTAAAATACCACTTCCCTCAGTCTCCAAAACCTCTGAAAGAGCAAGTTCCAATTGCTCTAGTTGCCATTCAAGTTACTCAAAAGTTTGGTCCCACTTTACAGAGCTGAATCTAACTTTTCCTAACCTCTACACAAATTATCTGCTCCTACCAGGCCAGTCTGCTCACTTGTATTGCAAACAAACCCAACTTTATCAGACTATAAACCTTTGCTAATGCTATTACTCTATGAGGTTGGAAAGCTTTTTTCAAGCTCTCTTCATAAAGTCATTCAAAGAATCTGCACTGAATACCTACTATGTATCTTCTTTGATATTCAGAGCTTATAATGATCTCTCTCTTCTCTATTACAGAAGGCATGGTTACAGTGACCGTTTATTCAGAATAAAGTAACAGTTGATATATATATATATTTAATATACGTAAATAAATATTTAATATACTTATATAAAAAACTATAGAGAGACAATCAAGAGAGACTACTTAAAATTGAAGCCATTCACTCATCAGGATCGTATCATAGAACCCCTCGCGTAGTTATTTAACCATTTTGTCTCTACAGCTACACAGGAGTTTTTGGAGGTCTGGAGTCCAGTTTTAGACTTCTTTGTGCCCCACAGGGCACCAATAACATGCTAGGTATCTAATAGTTATTCAATAAGTATCTGTGTTTGGACTAATAGCTAATGTTCTTTGAGTTTGGCAACATTCTTTAGGTGTGGCCTACCCTGGTAACTATGAAGGTGTTGCACAAGGAAAACCAACGAGAGTAAGATTAAATTCAGCAGAAAATACATTTTAACAGAGGAGATTAGTTCCTCTGCTGAGTAAGCTGAGCCCTCGTAAACTGATCCGGCCTTCTTCCAAAGAGCTGTGGAAATAAATCACCTTGTGGGTGAAACAGAGTTAGTCTCCATTTGCAGGGGGATTTTAAGTGTCTCCATGGTTTAGTCGTCCACAAAAATCTCCCTGTATTTAACATCTGCTCTGTCTTCAAATTACCCTGAGCATTTTTCTGAGACTGTGAAAATGAGCAAGGAGCTCTCACTTTCCAAAGTGTCCACCAAAAGCCAAAGGGATATTAATTAGAGGCAGGAGGGGAAGGAAGTTATTCCCTGGGAAAGAATGAAATATGCCTTCAGGAGGTAGAACAGAAACCTTTTAAACTCTCCATGGCTAGACTGGAAACTGAATGCAAGGAATACATAGAGATGGTAAAATGGGGCGATAAAAGTCAGAAATTTCCTGTAACCATGGAAGAGAAAGTGGTAGGGTCAAAACTGCTTCAAACTCCATGTTTGGATACTAAGGAAAACGCTATAAGTCAGCACACTTTTTCTGTAATGAGCCAAACAGTAAATATTTTAGGCTTTGTGAGCTACATACCTATAGTCTCTGTTGCACAGTTTTTGTTTCATTTAAGAACCCTTTAAAAATGTTACATATATACATATGTATATATATATATAGAGAGAGAGAGAGAGCTGGGGGGGGGGGTTTCACAAAAACCAGCCACTGGTGGACAGTAGTTTGCTCGGTCTTGCTCTGCATGATGGTGATTGTGTAAATTCCAATTCCATTTCAACTTGAGAAATACTTACTGAGCACCTACTAAGATCAGATCAACTATGCAAAGCCAGTGGAGGAAGCCTTCTATGATAAATATGAATAGGATTCTAAATTGAGGAAAAGTCTAAACCTGGCAATAAACTAATCAGGGCTCCTCAACCTGCAATAGACAACTGCTTCCAGCAGGAAGAACTAGCTGGAGAGGGGGGCAGGTTTGAGCGAATCTAACAGTCTGTGCAAAAGCTATTCAAAGTGAAAAAAAAATGCTGAGTGCAATTTGAGCAGGACACTGAGCATCTGGCCAAATTAAAGCTGGAGAACTCCCTCAGGAGATTTCAGTGCAGACTCGAAAGCAGTCTGGAAGCTGGGGTCAAGGAGAGAGGCAAACGTTGAGGGTGTTTTTTGACCACAAAGGCAGGGGAAGTCCTGGGTTTTGTAATTACCAACCAGCTGACACCACTTTGGGAATAAGTGAAATCTCTGCAAAATGTAACTTACCTGCCTGGGATCAGTCTAAAATATCTTATGGGTAGACTCTGATGGATGTAAAGAAACTATGCCTGAAAAATTGGAGTCTGGGGACCCTGAGAGTTCTGGTGCAAGGGAGGAAGAGCTTGAAAATGTTCCCTTCTCCCCTTCCCCCACAATAACCACTTTTCACTAGAGAGGACAAAGCTGGCCTGAAGGTAGAAGCTACCATAGTATCTAAAGAGCACCTGACAAGAAGCTTTTGAGAAGCCAAAGGAGTGGCTCCCCCTCCAGATACTGACTGAAAAGACTTAAAGGCAACAAGTCTTAAGCCAAGATCAACATGTCAAGAAGATAGGAAGAACAATGCTTTCCCCACCCACCGATAGCCCAGGGCTAGAGTGTTTAAGAAGGAATCTAAGCTTGGTGCCTAATGGAGGGAGGACGGGTAAGTACGGGAGCGAGGTAACCATGCTAATC